ATCTCATTTTTATTATTTCGTGACGAGATAAATCAAAATTGTTGTTGAAAAAATAAAGTCTTTATGCGATTCTTCGCACATTGCTAAAGTTTGTATTCGAAAACTTCTGACGTAAATCTGAGGTATACGTACACAAATACATACAAACAAGCGCAAGAGTTGAAGTGAAAAACATGTAATGGCACTAACACAATGACAAAAGACTTGAGATATAAAAAGACGATGACTGTTTAAATATTTTTCTTTTATTATTTTTCTTCTTTTACTTAACCGGTACTTTACCCGGTTAAATGACTTTCTCCATGGAATGCAATTTTTTTTCTTAGTCGCCTACTTGCCTTTTTAATGGTGTTGGTAATTGAAATGCGTAAAATAGTGATGTACAGCTTAAAAAAAAGCCAATCGAAAGCGCTTGACTTTATAGGTCGTTTTAAAAGCCAAGCAGTTGTGTTGAATTCAGTTATGATAATAATTTTTCAACGTTATTTGTAGTAATCCTGGTTTAAATTTGTTTATACCGGAGCTATATTCGCTTTAATTTATTGTGGAAAATAGAATAAATAAGACGGCAAGTGACCGCCGTAGCTGGCCCGTCAATCTTATCGGGCTTATGTGTCTGCGCGACTTCACATAATCCCCAAAAAAGAGAGCAGGGGTATTAAGTCACCTGATCATGGAGGCCACGACGAATTACATTGCTCTCACCAAGGTAAATTGATGGTTTCGTAAGTTGTATGGCATGTATCGACGTCTTGTTAGAATCAAAGTTCGCCCACATCAACATCCTCTAACTCAGACACGCAAATTCATTAATTAATTATGAACGTAAGAATATTGCAGGCTCTTATTTTAGAGGAAATATGAGAATTTTGTTTATTAGCATACATCTTCAACTAAAAGTGAGCTTCATCGCTGAACAAAAATTTCTTGTGAAAATTGGGATCGGTAGCCATCGCATTTTGGCCCCTTTCGCCGTACTTGGGACGCCCTTGTCGTTCGACGTCAATTCTGGCTCGAGTAAATTTTATATGCCCGCAAACCAAGTTCCTTCCTCAAAATCTTCATAAAGTGGATATTCACAGCTACGAGGTAGAATAAACTCATTCGTGTCTTCTTCGAAACTCTAATCTTCAACACCAATAATGTTTTCGATGCGCACTATTGCGCGTCTCTGAGGATACGCATTATCCACTAGAGTAAATGTGATGCGAAGCCGATCCATGCCTTCTCGAACTACCGACCCTGTTGATCGGTTATGCCGACTGAATAATGGATACAGCTCAAGAAATATAGAACGCAAATTTTGTTCCGGGGTAAATCTTTTCATTATGAAATGGCAAACCAATTGATGGCTTACTGCCTAGAAAAGAGCCGTTTAAATATTATAGACATTCATAAAAAGGCTGAAAATTCATCGAATTTTTTATAATATTACTTTTTACCGACCGAAATCTGGATAAGATGTTAAGCCACACTGTAAGCAGTCTTTCGGAAAATAGCTCGTCTTATAATCTATCCCATTTTTATCTCATTGTTCTTCTGTAGGAGTATTAACAATTCGTTCAAATTAAATTTATACGAGGCGTCCACCTATCTTGGAAAGCAATACACGTGCACAAATGTTGCTTTGAAATTCCAATTTCTAGCCACAAAAATATCTATTTGCTTTTTATGGTGATATTCAACTCCTTTTTTATTACTTACAGTAAGTATGCTAAGTATTATGCCGTCAAGTCGGCACTTTTTCCTTCATTTTATATGATTACATTCATGATGATATAATTGGAAGCCATTGTTGACCATAATTAACCAGCGCTGTCAGTTAACAAAAATCTTTTCAAAATGGCGTTGCACTTGAGTTATTGTACTCCTGACTTTTCGTTTTTTTTTTTTTATCGCTACTCACGTCCTCATCTGATTGCGTACAGTTTTGGTAAGGTAATTAGACCACAGCTTTTTTTTTTTTTTTTTTTTTTTTTTTTTTTTTTTTTTTTTTTTTTTTTTTTTTTTTTTTTTTTAATTTTCCTACCAATTACGATGTGCACTTTCGGGTAATCAAAACTGTTAGTGAATTTCTTTCATAGTACTCTCAGACCTGTGTGTACAATGAAAAATTGTAAAATGGGCAATCTCTTTAGTATTAAAAATTCCTATGTCTTCTAAATTAAATTTAAAAGAAAGCTTGTTAAGATAAGAGAATTTATGTAAAACTTCTTTGAGTAAAGTATTTTAATATCAGGAAGTCTATTCCGTATCAAAGTTCTATAGAACAATTAGCTTTATTTCAAAGAAACTTCAGCATTTCAACTTAATTTTCAAACTCATAAATGCCTACATAAGTATATGTATACTGAGATTTGAAAGGGGCAGGAATGTCTTCAAAAAATTTTTATCAATGAGAGCACTTTTTATTACATATGAAAAAATCAAGCATATTCGTGGTATATGTGAAAAAGGGCATGGTTTACAATAAGACAACGCTTTTTTTGGAACCAAATTTGATTATACTCTGATTGGGGTTGCGATTTCATAATGAGCAGACTTACTACAAAACAAGCTTTCCAAAGCGCGAAAATTTCTTACTAAATTAATGGACGTGTCGAAATGTGGTAAATGGGTCCATAGCGTTATGGTCACCAATTCCGACATTCACAAGAAAATTTTGGTCAACGATAAAATTCACATGTGATTGAATGACTACCTTAATGCACAAAATTGTCGCATTTAGAGTGATTATAATCTACAAATCATTTTCTTAGACACCGTTACATGCTGAAAAGGTAACTGTCTGGTATGCTCTATGGGCGGAGGGAATCATTGGTCAAAACATCTTCAAAAATTAATTAAAGAAGCTCTATTTTTAAACGACATAATTGATAACTTTTTATGCCTGAATAGAAAAATGATAATGAGGACAACATTTGGTTCCAATAAAGTGATGCTATATGTCAAAAGCCTACAAAACAATCAATTTATTGAAAAACACTTCTATTGAACCTTTATATCGCAATATATGCCTGTGGCTTGGCTTCCAAGAACGTGATATTTAGTACAACTGGTCTAATTTTTTTGAGGTTAAGTGAAGTCGCTTGCCTACGCAGATAAGACCGAAACGATTGACACCTTGGAAAATAATATTCGAAGCGTTTCTGCAGATATACGGTCCCAATTGTTGCATAAAGTGTTTAAAAATTTTCAGGAAAATATTTGAGACTCTTATAGGTAAATGAGAAGAATCTCAACCATCAGATTGATTCATTAAAATATCATACATTTTTACAAATATAAACGATTTAAAGTCAAGTGGGAAATCTGATTTCTTTATATCGAGCTAATTATTTTTAGAAGCACGTCTAGGCTGATTGCATTAACCCTTGGTATTACTCAAGTATATGTATATAACTCATACACTGACCCACATGCGCGTTATACTGAATAAAATTACCATATGAATACCGGTTAATTCGAGAACTAATTTCATACTACTTCATTATCATACTTCAGTCTAAACTATAGTATATCCGATATCATACGTACTATTTTACTAAATTATAATTAATATTGAAATTTGTATGTCACATAGGTACTATATGAACGCCTTAGATCCTTTGCCTTTGGTGCTTCAAATTTAATTGAGTTCACCCATTTTCACAGCGTCTGATGAGAAGCTAGAAAAATTTGTGCTGGATAAATTTTATTAGGTGTCAGATCATAAAAATCACAGAACTACATCAATTTACAGTTATGTTGCGACAGTGACGTTAGTGCCTGTTGTTTTGCTAATATTGGGTTGCTGAAACGAAAATGATTTCCTTACACTTAAGATTTTTTATATTGTAGGGGTCAAACCACCACCATTTACTAAGTAAAATGACAAAAAATTTAAACGTTTTGAATTAAAATTCGTGATCAGGACAAAAGGTGCCCAAAAGCCCTAAAGACCCTCATCTTTCGCAATTTTTGCTTTCAGATTTGTTGAGTGTTGTTATCAGAGGCTATATTGTGTTGTTCAACATATGTACTATACATTCAAGTCACGGACCCAGTTAAGGATTTACATGGGCTTACGGGTTTCAAAAAATCTACCTTTTTTATTGTCTTATTACATTTTACAAAACTTTTAGAATATTGTTCGCAATTTGCAAATTGATCCGAGTAATAGTTTCGGAGATACAAGCTTATAAAAGAACTTATGCGCTGGCTGGCTAAGTGCGCCGCCTCGAAACGAGTTTCTCTCGAAACTGTGTTTTTGAAGTCGGTTGGCAAGATTTCACGAGAACTACTCGATCTGAACGAAATTTACACAGTTCTATATTGATATAATACCTAAAGACTTGGACGTAGCATGTTTTTCTTTTCGATTACGACTATTAGAAAAAAATATGGCGAAATTTAATTTTTTTTTTTTATGAAAAAGATTTCGTTTTTTATATGAAAAAACAATTTTTTACTCTAAGAAACTCATGCAACTTCTTAAGGTTGAGGGACTATTTGATAGGCTATAATAAGATCTAATAACCTAAAAATCGTCATTGTAGCTAAACTAATGGATATCAATCTCGGCTTTTGTATTTGTTGGATCCAAATAAGTATTTACATTATGACTTCTGGGTGACAGACTCTGGCTGCTAAGGTAATGTTTGAGAGCAAATTTTAATGGCTCTTCCATTTCTGTTTGACTTTTCTAAAGCTAAGAACAACGATTGTACTATATTACGATTTCAATGAGTTTGATCACCTGACATTCGTTTCTATTTATTTGAAATTTGTATTTCAAAAATGTTTACGATAAATTAACCAGAAATAACGTAAATGAATTTTTGTATCTTAATTTCCATAAATTTTGAAAGCGTTTCCATTTATATGGAGTAGACTGTAATAGTGTATGTTGTGATTACATGATATGTGTTATTAATATATGATGGTGAATGCCATACACATGCATATGCAGCCATATAAAGTGCATTGTTTTAATTTTTACTCTCTTTTTGCACTTGCAGATGCAATAATGTCGGTAAAATGGCGGCAGAGATTCAAAAGCAAAAAGCGCTTAAAATCCCCGAAACAACAACAAACGGATATGTACAACAAAAACACCAAAACAAGCACTCAAGCACTCAGCCAGATGCTGAACATTGCCGAAAGTCACAGACACTGCCCCTTGGACAGCAGTGATAGCAACAAAAGCAATAACAACAATAACAAAGAAAACTCGCCGCCTACGAAGAGCTGCCACAACACGCACGTGCGAGACTGCAATCAGCGCACATGTGAGACGCAACATGCACTGCCACCAGAGCAGCAATGTAAATTGGATGCTTTCAAGGATTCCACATACGCTCCGTGGCCCCACGCTGCCCACGCTGACAGCGAGCGCAAGAACGCCGCTGCCATTATAAAACGTGCAACTGCCACAAAGCAAATAATACCAACAACACCGAAAACAACAACAACTACAAGCGCAGTTCGGAAAACAAAAGCGGCGGCGCTGATGACGACGGTGATGCGGGTACTGAAGCTGGCGGTGTACACAGACACCGCGACTCAAGTTGCAACAAAAGCAGCCACAACCGATGGCAGTCACTTGAAAAGGCCGCAGTCCAGCTGCTTGCCGACTTTGTACAACAGTTTGTTCGCTGGCTTTCGCTTACCATTTATATCAACAACAGCAACAAAAACAGCAAAAACAACAAGACCAACAATGAAAGCGAATAGCGCAACAACTACAACAGCAATCCTTAATATTAACACTAACCACCCCACCACTGCCCGAGCCTTTGTGCCACTACTGGCGTTGTGTTTCCTCTGCTTTGTCTCGGCAGCGACCACAACAGCGGCGATAGCCACGTCTTCCACCTACAACATAACCACTGCCAGGACAGATGCAACATCGCCGCCCTTGGCGCCCGTCGTGGCGGCAGTGATGGCCACCGCCACCGCCAAGCCGGGGGCCAGTGGCGCTCAGCAGCAATGCACATTGTCCGAGTTCACTTGTACGAACATGCGCTGTGTGCCGCTCAGCAAGTATTGCAACAACTTTAACGACTGCGGCGACGGCAGCGACGAGCCACGCTTCTGCACACGTGAGTACCTCCGAGCACTTTTACCGCATGTCAGCAGATAATTGTCAGACTTGCAAACACACCATATGCAAATGTAGGTGTATTTGATTGTGTTGAATGTGGGTAGCCCCCGAATTCGGTCATTTGGTGGATCGAAGAGCGAAAAGCGCGCTCTACCGCTGATTGGGCGGAATTGATGACGCTCGTTAGCGGCGGTAGACTTGACGAAAAAGTAGCTAGCAATTAAAAATAAAGTGGATTAAATTAATGTCGTTAGCACGCGTCGCGAATAAAGGTCGGCTTGTGTATGCCACACTACAAAAGAGTGGAAGGGTAGAATGGAAAAGTGAGAGCGATGTGTGGGTTAAGCCGTTGGCTTGTTAGCGGGCTTATTTCGTAATTACAATATACTATATGTATGCCTATAACGGTGGTTACATATGCAGTATAATGGCTCTGTGCAAATCTTTTTCACAACACAAAGTTCTTTTAAATCTAGTAGATATGCGTTAAAATAATTATTTAAAGAATTTCGTTGCAGTTGAGAAGTAAACCAATTTTCATGTTTCTCTCATTATCTTCTATCCCTGTCGTAGTCTTGGTCAATGCGGAACTCCTAGTACTCGACTTAACAAAACAAAAACAAAAAACCAGTAAGGAAGGGCTAAGTTCTTGTATCACCGAACATTTTATACTCTCGCATGATAAAGTGATAATTGATATTTCATTATCCGCCATTTACATATTTTTTTATTTTGCTGTAAAATTAATTAGATTAGATTAATTTGTGTACTTTGAGTATTGAATTGTATTTTAATTTATTTTAATTTATTTTAATTGTATTGAAAAGTTATAGTCCGATCACGACAATTTTTCCACAAGGGATACCTCAGCTCAAATACCGTATTTGTGTAAAGTTTTATTCCGCTATCATCATTGGTTCCTAATGTACATATTATACAGAGAAGGCATCAGAT